AGATCTCTTTAATTTATATATGGAGGCACTTAAAGTTATGAACATTTCTCTTAGCACTGTTCTCATTTTGCCCATTGGTTTGGGTACGTTGTGCATTCATTTTCATAGAACTGTGTAATGTTTTCATTTCTTTCTTACTTTGATCTTGACCCAGTTTTCATTCAGTATAGGGTTCTTAACTTTCTATGAGTTTGTAGGCTTTCTTTTGTTTCTGTTTCCCTGAATTCCAGCTTCAATCTGTAGTGGTCAGATATAATACAGTGATTATTTCAATTTTCTTGTATCTGTAGAAACTTGTTCTGTGAATTAGTATGTGGTCAAATTTTGAAAAAAAAAATTCATGAGGTGCTGTGAAGAAGGTACATTCTTTAGATTTGGGTGTTATGTGATGGATAGCTATTATGTTCATTTGAGACATCATGTCCGTTAGCTCTAGTATTTCTCTGTTTAGTTTCCTCCAATAATACTACAGCAACCCCAACAAGGTCACTGCCCCAAGTAGCACAATTCATTTCAGGCCATTGCCTTTCAAATCACCACAGAAGTCTATTTTGTTTGATAATAGAATGGCTAACCCAGCCTGCTTCTTATATCCATTTGCTTAGAAATATTTTGACCACTGCTTTATTCTGAGATAATGAGGTGATGTTTACCTTTGATATTAGAGGTTTTTCTTGTATGCAACAGAAGGATGGGTCCTGATTTCACACCATTCTGCTAGTCTGGATATTTTTATTGAGGAATGGTGTCCATTGATATTGAAAAATATTAATGACAAATGACTGTTGTTTCTTGTTATTTTTGTGGTGGTAGGGGTAGTCTCTCTGTCTCTCTCTTTCTCTGTCTGTGTGTGTGTGTGTGTGTGTGTGTGTGTGTGTGTGTGCTGGCAAGTACATGAACATACATGTTCTTTCATTATTTGCCTTTACTAGTTTGAAATTGTTTATATCCTCTTTTTACATGGGTGTAGTTAGTGTTATTGGGATGAAAATGTCTTTCTAGTATTTCTGTAGGGCTGGATCTAGAGACAGATATTGTTCAAATTTCACTTTATCTTGGAATATGTTGCTTTTCCCATATATGGTGATTGAAAGCTTTGCTGGATGGTAGGTCAAGAAGGGAAGCAGTATATTGAGTGTTGGGAAACTGAACCTATTGAGTTGGAGAGTTACATATGCTGGAGGGCAGCCTCTCTGTTCTTATTGCTGATGGTGGCCTTCACCTGTTCTTCAGAATATTCTGGCCTGTCCATGAGCAGCAGATATATGTCCAGGTTTTGTTGGTGGTTTCTTATACTTCTGTAATTAAAAACACTCTGCAGTTACTCATCATGGGTTTTAGATGTCTCCCATTTTTGTGTTTTCTTCTTGATCTCAACATTGTTCTCTGTAATGTTTTACTTCTCTGATTTTAATTCTTAGGCTCTCATGCATGGATACCTGTGCACTAATAATCATGAACTCCTCTGTCATTTAGAGGAGCGTACTGTTAGTAAGCTGACCTTTACTATTTAGTATAACTGGTGATAGTAGTCAGGTCAATTTGTTGCAAGCCTGGATGGGCTGACTTTGGTGTCAGCTTCTGTAGTTTGGCCTCATTCCTTCCTGTAATTTGAGATCAGCTGCTGTTGCTGGATGTACTTCCTGGTGCTTTAAGAGGCCGGGAAACACTTTGCAATGAAGAATAGTCTCTGGCAAGGATCTATGATGGCTGCTGGGTAGCCAGTGTTGCAAGATGTCTACCAGAGCTGACTGGTAGCATAGCTTGAAGTCTACATGGTCTTCACTACAGATACCAGCTATTGTCTCTTTCCTCAGGAATATCCACAAGGTGGATACAGATAAATGAACAAGATTCATGGGCTGGCCATTATGAGTCCAAATGCATTCTAAATACAAATAAACAAGTTGCTGTGTTATGCTATACTACCAGCATTTCACATAAAATGAGACTTGGAATGATGGAGGAACTATATATTAGCCTCTAGTTTATCACACTTAGTGTAGAAAATGAGCAGAATAACCACTGTGAATTACAATTTTTACAAATGTACATACTTTTGCATTTGCACCCCCAAAACACTAACTACACCCATGTAAAAATTTTTACAAAAGTACATACATTCAAAAGTACTTTATAAGGGGTAAAGTAGTTCAAAAGACTCACTCCTCATCAATGTTATAAAACTTCTTAATT